CTTTTTACTTTGTAATAATTTTTCAAAATTAAAATGTCTAGACTATGATCAATTTCTCATATTATTCACTATCAGGAAAGAAAAATCATTAGCCAAACTATCTACATAAATTAGTCTAAAGTTCAAAGTAACTTCTGAGAGAGTTTGACCTTTGATCATCATGAGAAAGGACAGCTAGTTAGCACAGTGGATACAGTATTAGGCCTGGAATCATAAAGACTCATCTTCCTGAGTTCAAATCTGGCCTCAGACACTTACTAGCTGCATGACCCTGAGCAACTCACTTAATCTTGTTTGACTCAGTTTCCTTATCTGTAAAATGATCTGGAGAAGGAAATGCCAAATCACTCCAGTATCTTTCCCAAGAAACCCTCAAACACAAAGAGTTGGACATCACCGAACAACAACAATAACAACATTACAAGAAAGAACAGTGTGAGCTCAATTTGGCCCTTAGGGACCCAAAGACCATGAATTTGCTGACCCAGACAGCTAGATCCACATCCTCACCATGCACCACAAGACTACTACTATCATCTTCCTATAAGATGTACCTACTACAATATCAGTCAAATATTCAATCCACAACCATAATAATTTGGGGAAGAACTTTATTATTCGAGTTTCTGGAAACGTACATGCAACACTGAATTCAAATATTCAGTCCACTAGAATGATAACTTTGGAAAGAGCTTTATCATTTTGTCATTCTGGAAAATTACATGCAACAGAAATGGATGACATGATCACCATATCACAAAATAATCATTAGCTCTCATGACCAATCCCTTAAAAATACCAGAATCAGAGGCCTCCTCACCCCATTGACCTGTCAATTGACAGGATATGGAGTTTGAGAGAGAATAAAGAGGAGAATTGTTCCCACGTTGTAAAACTCGGGGCCTTGGGAAAAGGTTGTGCCCTCATAGAATAGGGAAGTAAATAGGAAGGGATCCAAAATCAGGGTGGGGGTCAGGAGGGAAGTATGATTTCTGTTTTGGACATGTTTAGCTTGAAATGTCTATGGTACTTTCAAGTAGCACAATCTGTCAAGCAACTAGAGATACAGAACTGGAACTCAGACAAGAGATGAGTGCTAGAAATGTATATTGAGGAAGTTCTCTGCATAAAGAGAGAGATGAATACACAAGAAAGGTTACCACTAAGAAAGTGTATGTAGAGAAAGAGAGTGGAAAAAAGAAGAGGGCCCACGACAGAACCCTACTTTTCTGTTTCCTTCAAGTCACCTACTATATGTCCATGCATAAGAGACGGGAAATGGATGATGAATCTATAAAGGATTCTGCAAAAGAAATATTGGTTTAATAAGTAGGAAAAGAAATATAGCAAATCAGTGTCATGAAAACTCAAGGAAGAGACTCTCCAGGAAGAGGGCAATGATTGACAGTGATAAACTCTGCTGAAAGGTTTAGATGAGGACTGGGAAAAAGATGTAGAACTTAGAAATTAAATCACTATTATTGACTTTGCAGAGAGAAAGTCAGATTAGTAAAGATGCATACAAGTGGTAGTTGGGAAACTGGAAGCAAAAAGTGTACATAATTTGGTGAGTTTTGGTTTTGGTTTTTGTTTTTTGTTTTCCCAGAAGCATGCCTGCAAAATTGTAGGAGACAAAGAGGACAAAACCTGAAGGACTTGTAAGAGTTCTGGTATTGAAAACTGAAAGACATCAGAACTCTCATCAATGCTTCTGGCCATCATCTTCTGTGTCTCTACCTTTCACACCAAACTCCTGGGAAAAAAAAGCAAACTAAGTTTTTCTGAATTCCTCACATTCATCATTTCTTACTTTATAATAATATTCTATTCCATTCATGTACTACTGTTTGTTCACTTCTCCCCTAATTAATGAGTACCCACTTTATTTCCAGTTTTTTGCTGCCACAAAAAGTGACACTATAAATATTTTTTCCACATATGAGACCTTTTCCTCTGCCTTTCATTTCCTTAAGGTATATACTAAGTAGTGATTGGTGATTGTTGTCCCTCATGCTTAAAGAGGACCAAAATGACATCATGGGATCAAGGTCCAGTGTATCCAACTGTGGCTGATCAGACTAATGTGAGCTCAGAAGGCTCTACCACATGTAAGGCACAAACAGTCCATATTAACATTTGAAAAGGAGATGTCTCTAAATTTGCTCAACTCACATTTCTTTTGAGCTACTGCAATTCTACTTTGCTCACACAGCACAGCATCTTCTTTGATGAGAGCATGCCAAGCTGGTGGTCCTATGCCAGTGTCTCCCATGTCTCACAATTGATTGCAGAGTTATTCAGAGAGACCTTGAGAATGTCCTTGTATTGCTTCTTCTGACCTTTGTGTGAGTGCTTGCCCTGTGTGAGTTCTCCATAAAATGGTCAGCAAACAAACATTTGACATTTTTGAATGACATGGCCAATCAAACAGAACTGCACTCTCTGCAAAAGAGTTTGAATGCTTGGCAGTTCATCTCAAGAAAGCATCTGGTACTTTATCTTGCTAGGTGATCTTCAGAATTTTCCTCAGACAATTCAAATGGAAGCAATTCAGTTTCCTGGAATGGCACTGGTTAACTGTCTGGGTTTCACAGGCATACAACAATAAGGTCAGCATAACAGGTCTGTAGACCTTCACTTTGGTAGATAGCCTAATATCTCTTCTCTACCACATTTCCTTCAGAGCCCCCCAAACACTGAGCTAGCTCTAGCAATGTGTATGTCAACCTCATCATCTATGTGTACATCCCTCAAAAGCATACCGGCAAAGTAAGTGAACTTATCCACAGCATTTAAAAATCTCTCCATCTGCTGTAACCAATGATTCTATATATGGATGGTATGGTGCTGGCTGGTGGAGAACTTCTTGGTGTCATCAGGCCAAAATTAGTACAAGTGGCAGAGAATCAATCCATATTCTGTTGCATCTCAGCCTCAGACATAGCATTGAATGCATAATCATCTGTGAACAAAAAGTTGCACACCAATTCTAAATCAAAGGGTATGCATAATTTAGTAACCTTTCTGGTATATCTCCAGGAATAGTTAGACTAAATCCCAACTCCATCGACAATACTTTACTGTGCCTATCTTCCCACAGCCCCTTCAATATTTACCAGTGTCATCTCTTGTCACTTTTGTCAAACTGATCAATGTAAGGTAAAATCTTAAAGTTATTCTAATTGGGATTTCTTTATGTTATATGAATGTAGTGGAATATTATTGAGGTGGATTAACTGATGGGAAGGACGGAGTCAGAGAAACCTAGGAAGATTCTATGAACTTAATGCACAGTGAAGTGAGCAGCTTCACAAGAACTGTTATATAATCCCCACACCATTGTAAAGAAAAAACACCTTTGAAAGTTTCAAGGTCTCTGATCTACGCAATTTGCAGTTATGACTCCAAAAAACTGATAATGAAGTCTGTCTTGTAGCTCTTGGTGGAGGGGTGAAGGACTATAATTACAAAATGAGACATGCATTTTCAGATATGTTTATTAAAACACAAATTTGGGGCAGCTAGGTGGCACAGTGGATAGTACTCTGGCCTTGGAGTTAGGAGGACCTGAGCTCAAATTTGGCCTCAGACTCTTAACACTTACTAGCTGTATGACCCTGGGCAAGTCATTTAACCCCGATTGCCTCACCAAAAAGCAAAAGCAAAACAAAAAACCCACAAATTTGTTTGACTTAACTAAACTTTTGTACATAGGAAGGCTTTTATTTGGGAGGGAGGGGAGTTGTGTGCAAAAGTAAGGAGATAATCGTAGTGATGCAACAAAAAAGCCAAAAAAACCATCAATGTAACATTTAAAAATACGTACAAGAGAACAAAAGGAAGTTTAAAGGAGAATATAGACAAGTAGAATAATGTTAATACTACCAGGCTAAACTTAATGTACACTTTTGAAAACAGGTTGTATGCTATAGTTTCACAGTTTCATATGCAATCCCAATTTTCTGGTCTTCTTTGTATAAGGAAAGATTCCTACTTGCTGATGACATTCTAGTTTATTATTTCTTAAAAGAGTAATTTTTTTTAATTAAAAGACTCCAAGATGACTTTGAGGTTATAAATATGGGTGAAGATGATTGTGCCCTGAATAAAGCAGAAGAGAATGGAGGAAGAGTAGGTATTGGGTAAAACACCAAGTCAGCTTGTCCAACTAGGCCAAGAGACAATGAAACTGCTCAGAGTACTCTCTACCTTGTACACTTTTGGGGGATGGAGGAGAGGGGAAGATCCATGTGGAGGAAGACAGAAGACAAGTGGCTTTGATGATGTCAAAAGGAACTTTTGTTTGAAGTGAGTGAAGTGACTGGTTCCAGGTTCAGGGAGAATAGTAATCTTACCTTTATTTATCATTTTAACCTGTAAAGGTAGAAATTGATGCTTTCCTTTGCTACAAGACACTCTTTAATAATAAAAAAGAAAAGGTAAGAGAATTTGATACTTGTGGGTAGGACTTAAAAGGTAGAATGAATGAACCCTGCTTAAAGAGATGCCAGGCAAACTAGCTTCCCACACTCCCAGCTCTGAAATCGGTGAATAGCTCCATCCTGGAGGCCTCTAAAGCTTCATTCACCTACTGTAAGCTGAGATATGTGACATTTCAAACCTTGTCAGAATGAGATGTGATTTCTTCAGTAGTCTTTCTTCACTGAACCCTTTTTACGACAAAAAAAAAGTCTCACTTTTAGGGAAACTTCTCCCTTCCCTTCAGGGTTTGGGCTTCAAATGCAACCTGTGAACTGCCACTATTTCATGACCTCATGGACACTGCTCTAGGAACACTGAGCTATGTTCACATAATTGCTTGCTTTCATTTAGCACTGGCAACCAGATGAGTTCTATGGGCCAAATTCTGCCCTCAGCTATTCATTCATAAAGGAAAACCAGTGGGTGTTACACACAGCTAACCAAGGGGAAAGTTTGGCCTCCACTGTTTCTTTCATGTGGCTCTAGGCATCAAGACCAGAAAAGAATTTGAAAAGCAACTGGAATGAGAGGCAGGACAATGCTAGGCAAGTTACCATAACTTACCTTCTCGTAATATTACAGGTAATAATTACAGGTAAGTTACAGATAAGATCCTTTAAGGCAGAGACTAAATCCTGAATTTCTTTACATCCCTGTTCCCCTTAATACACATAATGGTTAATATAGTCTTTGATTGATTTCATATAATAATTTTTTTGTTCACAGATATAAAATTGTATTCATGCCCTGGAGCTCACCATGTGGAAACTCCTGCTACTTAGAAAGAAATTCTCCTCATCAGTAATTGAAGGTCTTAGAATATTGTCTGGGGTACTGATGACCCTAACCACGCAAACAATGTCAGAGGTAAACTTGAACTCAATGGAGTCTTCCCAACTCTAGCCACAGCATATATTAATCAAACACATAAATAAAGTATATAATCTGACATTTATCTAGTATCTTAAAGTTTGAAAAGGGCTAAATATAAATTGTCTCATTTGAAGTGTACATCGGGTTGGTACTTCAAGCATTATCTCCATTTTACAGATGAGGAAACTGGAGGTCAGAAAGTATGGTGATTTGCCCTTGGTCATACAGTTGTTCAGTCCTTTTTCAGTCATGTCTGACTCTTTGTGACTCCATTTTGGGTTTTCTGGGCAAAAATACTGGAATGGTTTGCCATTTCCTTCTCTAGCTCATTTTACAGATGAAGAAACTGAGGCAAACAGGGTCAAGTGACTTGTCCAGGATCACACAGCTAGTAAGTGTCTGAGGCTGGATTTGAACTCATGATGATGAATCTTTCTGACCCCAGGCCCTGCACTCTATCCACTGCACCACCTAGCCGCCCCTAGACTAAATGTTAAAGATGGAATTTGAAGTCAAGGATGTTTTGTTTTGTTTTGTTTTGTTTTCCATTGAGGTAGAGGAGCTTGGTGCTTTACCTTCAGGGCTAAGCCACCATACTACCTCATGGTTGGGACAACTAGAACTAGACACTTTACTTGGTGATCCGTAGATTTCACAGAGACAAGAACACAAATATTAGGAAAGAGGCAAGATTCAAATTCATAATCAAATGGGCTTTCCATATGTTCCTCAGCCATTCCCCCATGTTTCTAAGGGCCAAAGCCAGACAAATCCTAGACATAGGTGCTTTAGTAAAATAGTGAGAAGTGATAGGGAAAAAATCAGCATAAGAAGCAATATACTTTTCCAGGTAAAGATGTTCTTGTCCCAAAATTCCAGAGTGCTTCCTCTTGAAATGGCCCATTGAAGTATGCACCCACAAGAGAGGAGAAAGAGTGTGCTTGTACAGAAAATCCCACATTTTCAAGGGAGAGGCAAACCTGTTACAGTCCCTGACCCTAGCTCAGCCTCACTTCTTTCTATCATGTAAAATAAACTATTGGATCATAGGATTATTTTTGGATATCATCTACTTTAACTTCTTCATTTTACAGAGAAGGAAACTGAGGCCCAGAGAAGTGAAATGACTTGGCAAAGATCGAACTGGCAGTGAGTAGGATATAATCCAGGTCACCTAAATGTAAACCCAGCACTTCTTCATTGTTCTGGATTTCTCGACACCTACTTTTTAGTACTGCTACAATCCAAAAAGAAAAGAAAAGAAAACAGCATGGGCCCGTGGAAAGAGTGAGTACTTGAAGACACAACGTGAGTTTGAATCAACTCTATCAATTGCTCCTTGCAAGATGTTGGGCAAGTCACTTCACTTTCAGAGTCTCAGGTTTCTCATATGTGAAATGAGAGTTTTGAATGCGGGAAGGAGTGGAAGGGAGAAAGGGTTTAGGATTGAAAGACAGAAAAAGACAGAGGGAGACACAGAGATAGAAACAGAAGAACATAAAGAGATGGGGGAGAGAGAAAAGGAAGTAGGAAGGGAGAGAGAGTGACAAAGAGAAACCGAGACAGAGAGATAGAAAAACAAAACAGAATAGTAGGAAGGCCAGGAGGAATCTCAGACAAGTAGGACAGTTTTGAAAACATGTTGAATTTATTTTACATATGTGTGTGTTTATTTATTTAAAGCAAGCCCTACATAATAGGGTTTTGCAGTTTCATGTGCAATCCTGTCCTGTTCCACATCATATTTAGAAATGTTTATTCTCTTTAGTGTTTGTTAAGTTCAAAATAAAGAGAAAATAAAATGGTGGGGGAAAACAATGTTCATGCATTGTTGGTAAAGTTGTAAATTAGTCCAGATATTCTGTAAATCAGTCTGGAATTATGGCCCCAAAGTTTAATAAACTGTGCATACCATTTGACACAGCTATACTACTAATAGGCCTATACTACTAAGAAAGTAGAGATACAGGAAAAGAATCACTATGTACAAAAATGTTTATAGCAGTTAATGTTTGTCATAGTTAAAAAATGGGAAACTAAAGGGCTGTCCTACTGGGAAATGGTTAAAAAGATCAGAAAACATGAAAGTATAACCCAGGGCTTAAGCCCTGGAGAATGATTACTCAATGTTCCATGCTTGTATGAGGCATGGACAGAATTGTCAAGAGTTTGGTTTTCTAACTTCTGTCTTCAAAAGAGCAAAAAAAGCAATTCCAGGATCTCTTCATGTAGAAGTCCCTGGAGAAAGAGAAAGCCTCCAGAAAAAAAAAAAGTATTTAGATGAGTTGGTACTTCCAACATGTGCCTGTCCTCAGCTTGTCATCCTAAAAACTTCAGGGAATTTTTCCTTGGCTAAAACTAAGGACTTTCTTTTAATGGTTAAGCTGAGATATCTCACTCTTAATGGAAGACTCATCCATTCTACGATCGTCTGATATATTTTAATATATGTGATTTCTCTTATATTTATTTGTTATTGTCTTAGATATATCTTAGGATACCCTTCTCATCAAGGGATAACAATCAGAAGAGTGGCTTGAACCTAAAAATTACTTCTCCTAGACTAACAATATTTAGGGGGGCAGAATCCCATCTCTAAGGAGAGCAAAACAGCTAGCCTCACGGCCCCAATCTTTTCGCTACCTGACAAGAATTAAAGTCTTTTTTGGAGAGGTATAGGGGAGACTAGAGATATCTATTCATATCTCCCTCAGAGTTGCATTTAGACAGACCCATGTGGACACACACCTACCCCACGTGGGCAACGCACACACTTTACAAATGCAATGGAATATTACTACACTAAAGGGATAAAGAAATGACAATTTAGAAGAAACTGGGGGAGACTTCTATGAACTGATGTAGATTGAAGTGATGAGAACTAGAACTATTTGTACAGTGGCAAACAAGATTATAGAATAAAATAACTTTGAAAGACTTAGAAATGGGTTTAATGAAAATACAAACTATAAATCCAGAAGACTAAAGATGAAACATGCAATTCATCCCCTGTAAAAGAAGAACTTGAAATGCTGAAGAAAGCATACATTTTCAGGCATGTCCAATGTTACAATTTTTTTTTCTGGACTTTATATTTATGATGATAGGGGAGGGTGGAGAGAGATTTGGTTTTTGTCCATTTGGGGAACTGAAAGGGAAATTATAAATACATGTAAAAGAAATAAATTATTGAAATGCACACATATATGCCTATATAAAAATGAAAAGATTACTTCCATCTTAAAAGAATAAGGGGACTGGATTAGGAATTTCCAAGATCTTTTTCAGCTCAAAAATCTAAGATCCTATGAAAGATTACTAGTATATTAATTAAGCACCTATTATTAAGTACCTATTATATTCCAGGCACTGCAATAAATGCTGAGAATACAAAGAAAGACAAAAGATAGTTCTCACTGTCAGGAATCAATATGAAAACAACTATGTGCAAAAAAGATAAACACAGCATGAGTTGGAGGCAATCAACAGAGGAAACGCACATCATCCAGGGGGATTAGGAAACACTTCCTGTATAAGTTGGGATTTTAGGTGAGACTTGAAGGAAGCCAGGGAAGGCTGCAGGCAGAAATGAAAAGAGAGAGTATTCCAAATTGATGCTTAAAGATGAAAAGGACCTGAGAGGTCCCTTTATCCAATCCTCTCATTTTACAGGTGAGGAAACTGAGGCTCAACAATATTAACTGACTTGCCAGGAAGCATATAAGTACTACAATAAGTAAATAGAATTTGAATCCAAGTCCTCTGACTCTAAATCCAGTAATTGTTCCATTATAGTCAGTTCTTTTGATTCCCAGGTAGTATTCATTCTACTATACTATCCAGCCACTATTTTGAGTAAAACAGGCTGAATGACAGATATTAGGTTGTTTGTCTATAAGCTATTAAAAGTCTTCTACGCCTATTTTACTAGCTTTTCTATAATAGTCAAGTGTTGTACTCCTATATTCTTCCCAAGGTTTTGCAGCTAGATGGCCATTCCAATATTCTCAGCTGTAATCTTGGTCTTGTTCCAAAAAGTATTTTTTTCTGACAAGTGCCCCAGCTTGAGAGGAGCAATGCTGCTGGGAAAATATTAAAGACACATTGGTTATGTGGTGGAAAATGGGCACTAATGGAAGAAGGGCTGTAACCAAATTCTCTTCGGAATGCTATTTCTGTACCTTTGGCTTTCCTGCATGATTCCAAGTCCCAGATAAATGCAAAACCAAAATGGCCAAGTTAAATGTAAGAAAATCAAATCACTGCATTAGTTTTATTTGGGAAATAGACAAAATATGAAAAGTATGTGATTTTGTTGTTGTTGTATTGTTTCACTTATAATTAGGGACTGAAAAGAAGAGTTCAGAAGCCCTTGGATGGTACCAAACAGTATTAGAAATAAAACAGGGCTAGGTGGAAATTGCATTTCTCTTTTGTTTTCATTGTCTTCCTGTATTTATCAACTCTTAAAAACATTTCATAGCTTTTGGACTTTGGAGAAAGGGCATGTTCTGGGGGAGCCAAGATGGCAAAGTGAAAAGGTACTCGTTCTCACTCTCCCCTCTCCACCTCTGAAAACCCAGAAAATATCACCCCAGAAAAAAAACCTTGGAACACCTGAACTAGAGGAAAGATGGGGAGCAGCAGTGAAGCAGCCCAGCAAACGGGTCTCCCAGTGGCTCAGCAAAAATAAGGGAGGCAGAACTACAAGGGGACCCAGGTGGATAAGTACCCTGCAGCATTCATCTGAAAGGAGGTGAAGAAAACAACCTAAAGCCCTGGCCTTGCTGATTCCAACCCAACAACAGGTGAGCTGTTGGAGCCCTGCAGCCTCCAATTGTGAAAAAAAGGAATCTCCCAGTGCATTAGCAGAAGCCAGTGAGAAAATACTGCAGGGGGCCCCAGGCAGATAAACACCCTGCAGCACCCATCTAAAAGGAGCTGAAGAAAGCTAACGGAAAGGAAAAGCAAGCAACCTAGAATTACCTGAAAGTTCCAGCCTTGATGATTCCAGCCCAACATGAGGTAAGCTGCCAGAAACTGACAGTCTCCAATTGCCAGCATAAGAGGCCCCAGCACATAAAGCCAGTGACCAAGACTTGGCTCCCAACGCAAGAAGCTTGGGTCACTACCCTCTGTTCCCCAGCAGGAGAGTTCAATCTCTTTAAAGGCCAGGGAATAAAAAAACAACATGAGTAAAAAGAAACGTACCAAAGATTCATATTATGAGAAGAGTGAAGATCAAGACAGAAATTCTAAAGAGGACAACATTGTCAACAAACCCACATCTGCAACAACAAAAGGGAATATGAACTGGTCTGAAGCCCAATAAGCCTTCTTAGAAGAGCTCAAGAAGGATTTTGATAGTCAAATGAGAGAGGTAGAAGAGTCCTTCAAAAACACAATTGGCCAATTGAAGAAGGAAGGGCAAAAACTAACAAGAAAACAATCTGTTAAAAACTAGAATTGGACAAATGGAAACTAATGTCTCTATGAGAGAGCAAGAATCAGTCAAACAGAACCAAAAAAATGAAAAAATAGATGAAAATGTAAAATACCTCATCAGTAAAACAACCGACCTGGAAAATCGACTCAGGAGAGACAATTTAAAAATTATTGCACTACCTGAAAATCATGATGAAAAAAAAGAGCCTGGACAGCATCTTACAGGAAATCATAAAGGAAAACTGCCCAGAAGTGCTAGAACCAGAAGGAAAAATAACCATAGAAAGAATCCACCGATCACCACCTGAAAGAGATTCCAACTCGACAACACCTAGGAATATAATAGCAAACTTCCAAAATTACCAAATGAAAGAGAAGGTGCTGCAAGCAGCCAGAAAGAAACAATTTAAATATCATGGAATCACAGTCAGGACTACACAGGACCTTGCAGCTTCTACATTAAAAGACCGCAGGGCATGGAACATGATATTCCATAAGGCAAAGGAGCTTGGAATGCAGCCAAGGATCAATTACCCAGCAAAAATGAGCATCATTTTTCAAGGGAGGAGGTGGATATTCAAAAAATAGGAGACTTCCAAACTTTCCTGATAAAAAGACCAGAGCTCAACAAAAAATTTGATCTTCAAGTACAGGACTCAAGAAGGACTTAAAAAGGTAAATGGGACAGAAGATACAATATGTTGTTAATAAGGGGGGGGCTGTTTAAACCCCTACAAGGGAATATGAGACTTGCAACCCTTGAGAACTGTATTGTTATTACACCTTGTTAAAGGAGTATACATAAAGAGGGTGGATATTAGTTGACTTTGATGTAATGATAAAAAAAAATCTAATCAAGTGGGTTAAATGGATCCAAATAAGTGGATCAATCTGATCTTAGAAAATGTACTGAGAAAGGAGGAGGCAGACAAGGGTAAATTACATTACAGGAAAAGACACAAAATCCTATTACAGCAGAGGGAAAGAAGGGGGGGGAGCATTGTTTGAACCTTACTCTCATCAGAT